TTACTGTTCAGAAATACTCCAGGCAAGTCTTTGAATAGATTTTTCTCTTGTCAGTGTTCCTGCTGCGCCCTCCCCTTTGCCACATAAGAAAAGACCTACAAACTCACTTTGGCTACGAACACCTGCCAGTAAACACCAAAAGGGGAGAGGAAAGAGAACAGTGAAGGTACCCTGAGGTACATCTTAGAACAACAGAGCACGAGAGCAGCAGAAATATCTCAGCTGACAGCTGATGTTTCTGCCTGACTTCCTATGAGAGAGCTCATTCCTGGTCCCAAAGACAGCCTCGTTCAGCTTTCACCTCCCCTAATTCAATGTAGAAGACACAGAGGGCATGCTGCCCAACAGCCCCATGTCCTGCCATCTCCCACAACTCCAGCTTTGCAAAAAATCACACCAGTTCTCCTCTCACAATGAAGATGCCAACCTCTCGCTTGGCATCTTCAAATCTAGTTTGTTCCTCTTCTTGTTGGGCCAGCAGGGTGGCAACTTTCTGCCTCATCTCAAACAGTACCTTCTTGTGCTCCTGCTCTCTCTCTGCCTTCTCTTTTTCCCATTGCTCCAGCATCTCCTGCATCTCTGCATGGTGCCTTTCATGCTCATTTGCCTGAGGATGGGAGGAAAAATTTGCAAGATGAAGTCCCAGGCAAGCTCCTTGCTGAAACAGGTGAAGCTTCATCCCTCCCACAACCCCTAACGGGAAAAGACAACAGCACTCCAGAAACTGTGTCCTGTCGTGGAATTCAAAAGGAGGCTCAGCAGGTGCAAGAATCACAGACTCGTGGAATCTCTTCTGTTGGCAAAGACCTTCCCAAGCGTTGAGTCCAAGCACTCAGAAAAGGACGTGTCACCTTCCCCTCTCTGACGCCCCAGTCACAAGGACTGAAGGACCAGGGATAAGGGGCCTGTTCCATTTGCTTCCAGCCCAAAGCTAATCCTTCTGTCCACAGTGGAAGCACAGCAAGAAAGGAACCGAGTTCCCACGCCTGCAGCCAGCAGCACTGTTGGCATCTGCTCCATGCTGGCATTTGCTCCACGCTGGCATCTGTTCCGTGGCAGGTGGGACTCGAGGACAATCCTGCCCAGAGCTGCCACTCTTTGGGTGGGCACTGCCCAACCTGCTCTGGAACTCCTCTTACACCCTCACTGAAGCTGTGGCTGCATTTACTGTCCCAGCACCATCCTGGCGGCCTTCAGGCACCTCCAAGTCTGAGCTGCTGGCTCTGCTGCCCGGCCCAGCAGCGGGAGGCCTCTGGCAGAGGATTGCTGCCCTTTCACACCCTCAGGCTCTGCCTGTGCTAAACTAACCCACAGGGTTGGCTTGGACAATTCCGAAGTGTACTGTCTCCTACCAGGTCTTGCAGGAGCTTCTTTATTTCCAGTTGCTGAGCAGTTTCCTGAAGCCTGAGGCTTTCGTGATGCTGCTGCTCTGCCTGCAGGAGCTGTTGAGCTGTGTCTTCTCTTTCCTGTCTCCTGAGAGCTCTCTCTGCTTCCAGATCATGTTGCAGGCACTTCACTTCTCCTGCAAGCACGACCAACAGCAAGAGTCAGAGTCTCTACTGACTTTACTGACCTCAGGCCCTTTGAGTGCCAGCAAGCCCCACCACTCCTCAGAAGCCCTGTGGACAGAGGCAGCTTTACAGGGTGCTTAGCTGCTCTAAGCAGGGGCAGCACCACAAATAAAGCACACGAGGTTCTCACCTTCCATCACTTCCTTGGCCTGTGTGACTATGAGCACTTGAGCCTCCAGATGGTTCCTGGTCACCTCCAGCTGAGATATCTGCTGCTGAGCAGCAAACAGCCTGGATTCCAGGCTCTCCTTTGCTGACCTACAAGATGCACACACAGAGAGACATGAGTTGCTTACTCCAGACTCCCACAGCTGGTTATTCCAGGACAACGTGGCTCAAGATCCCCACATCTGACTATGGGAAATGGGTCAAGTGGAAACTCGCCCAGACAAGGCACATTTGTGCCATTTTAACAGCAGAGCAGGGCCCTCGGAGGGACTGCCCAGGCCTTCCCTATGGCCTGGCATAGCACAGACAGGCCAGCCCAACTTGGCCTCAACAGCCAAATCTACATCTGAAAAGCACAGAGAATACTATAAACGCCTGTGTAATGTTTACCACCTTTATCATTACAGCTCTTCAGCCCTGTCCTGCCTAGGGTTTGCTCCCTGCCTTTACCTGGTCTCTGCCAGCTGCTTGGAAAGGTCATGTTGGTGGCGCTCTGTGGCTGCCAGTCGACCCTCAAGGGCAGCCTTCTCCCGGCCCAGCAGCTCCTTCTCTCTGCACACCTGAGCCATTTCATGCTCTTGGCCAGAGGATTCCTGGCGCAGCTGCTCCAGAGCCCTGCCCAATGACTCTTGTTCCTGGGAAACCTGGAAGTGGGACAAGGTACAGCTCGAGCCCTTCCTCGGGAGCCCTGTGCAGAGCCAGCCAGTGGCAGCTCGCAGGCAGCCAGAGGACAAGGAGCACCTGTGCTCTGGGCTCAAAGTTTCACAGCACCTGTCCTAGGCAGCTCTGATAGCCTGGGCTGACAAAAGCCTCTGGCACTGTTCCCTTGGAAGTGCTGTGTCAGGCCCTGCTGCCCTGCCTGGGACCAGACAGCTCCTTCCCAAAGAACATCCCTCCTCCAAACTCCCCGTTGTCACCCAAAAGCACTGCATCTTCCACAACTGCCACTTGGCAAACAGAATTTCTCTCTGGAGCTATTTCTTTGATGGACATTTTCAGGAAGGTTTGGGAAAGCAAATTTGCTTGCTGAATCAAGAGAAAATATACAGGATTTCTCCCTTCAAGTACAAAACTCACATCACAGCATCACCTCCTCACCTATTCAAAGCAACTCTCTGCAAGAGAAGATGCCTCGCAGGGAAGTGGCTCTTGTGCTGAGCAGACATTTCGTGACTGATGGACATTACAGTCTGGTTGATGTTGCCAAAGCAAAACCTCTGCTGTGCATTTGCCAGACCTACCACATTCCCCCGAACTGAGACTGTCTGACAGAGATCCTCAGAAACAAAGCCTTCTCTTGCAGCTATCCTGTAACGCCCAGTCTAAACCTCCCCTGGCACACCTTGGGGCAGTTTCCTCTGGTCCTGGCCCTTGTTCCCTGGGAGCAGAGCCTGACCCTCACCTGGCTGCAGCTTCCTGTTGCAGAGAGCTCTAGAGAGCAAAAAGGTGCCCCCTGAGCCTCCTTTTCTCCAGGCTGAGCCCCCCCAGCTCCTTCAGCTGCTCCTGGTCACACCTATGCTCTAGACCCCCAGCTCCATTCCTTTTTCTCTGGACATGCTCCAAATTAATGACAAAAAGCATCAACAGAAACATGCAGACCTGTTTAGTTTGTTTTTTTGTTTTTTTTTCAGAAAAAGGATTCAGAGCTAGGGAGTTTTATTCTTTTGCCACAGTTTGATTCTTTTGCCACCCACTCGGATTAATGGACAACACAATTATCTCTTCCAAGCTTACCAAGAGCCAAAAAAGAAGCCAACAAAGACAGAGATGGAGTAAAAGACTCTGTAGAAGCAGAGGACAACTCCGACAACTGTGGAACAGCTCTGCAAGCCACCCACACATTTCCAAAAAGGAGCAAGCAAAGCCTTGTGACCTCTAGCACTATCACATGTCCCCTTGACAAAACCACTGCAGAATCCATCAGGTAAAGCTTCCCTCATCCAAGCAGCCCAGTGCCCACATGAATGCACCATACTTTTGGTCACCTGACAGAATTTCTCCAGGGTTTCTGCTTTCTCCTCTCCCAGTGTCCTAAGCTCCAGCCACAGCTCCTCCCGTTGCTCCTCTGCTTCCTTCAGCAGCTGCTCTAGCTGGGCTTTCTCTGCATAGAGCTCTTTGTTTGCTCTTTCACAGAAGTTCAGCTTCTCCTGCTCACATATCTTTGCTCTCTCCATCTCATCCACTTTAGCAGACAAAACTTCCTTCTCTTGCTCCAGCTAGAGTCACAGAAACATAGAGGAAATAAAGTACAGGAAGAATTACTATGAAAGATTGGCTCGGACACAAAAGGAACACTCAGTTACAGTCAGCTGGGCAGACTGTGCCAAGCTAAGAAGCCTGAGAAACAGCAGCAGCTGGAGACAAACACCTGGCACATCTCTGGCAACTCTGCTCACCTGCCACACATATTTGTTCAGCTGTACTTTGTCCAATGCAAGAGCTTCATTGATGCTGCTCATCTTGGCTGCTGCAGCCTGTAGATCAGCTCTTTCAGCATTCAGCTTGTTCTGAGCCCCTGTCAGCTCTGCCACTGACCGTTCTGCCTGGAGAGGCGAAAGAACAATGGGACAACAAGGGCAGCAAAATCCTGGACTGCAGGCAGCCACTTCACCTCCCCTGGATGTCTTTGACTTATTCCTAGGGCAGAGCTCCCAGTAAGATCATGGGGACCAATGATCCCGAAGAGCCTGTCTGGCTGAATCACCATTTTTCAAGAACAAAATTGTCCCTCTCTTCTACTGCCAGAAGCAACATCTTGGGTGATCTTGGTGTCACAGCTCCCACTCTCACAAGTGCTGCCTAGGAATAAGGTGTCCATACCTTCTCCAGAGCCATTGCAAATTCATCCTTCTCTTGCTCCAGAAGATCCTTCTGAAGCTGCAATTTCTCCAGTGTCTGTCCCTTGACTACCAACTCGCTCTGCAGTAATGAGTGTTTTTCTTCAAGTGCAGCCAAGTCTTTCGCTCTATGAGGAGGGGAAAGAAGCTTTTATAGAAAAACAGTCTATGCTACAAGAGAGGAGCAGGCCATTCGTTCCTTCACACTGGGCCTCCTCAAGCCCAGCACTGCCAGAGAAAGCTTTAACACTCACAGGAGCTCCTGCTCACGGCGTGCTCTCTCCATCCTCTCCTGCTGCTCTGCCTTTTCTGCCTGATCTGAGTTTTCCTTCATCTGCAGCTCAGCGTTACTCTGACGCAGACATAAGGCTTCTCGCTCCCTTAATCCAAGCTGTTGCTGTAGCTCTTCCCTAGTTTTCTCAAGGTTTGTACAGTCACTGCAGAGACAAGGCTCAGTCAGAAGTATCGAGAGGCCTGAAGAGTCAGCAATGCCATTTTCAGCACTCCAGGATGGAGCCGGGGGCAGTGGGCTAAGGAAGACCTTGTTCTTTCCCTCCCAAGAAAATCCTCCAGAGGCAATGGGAAAGGCAGGATTTTGCCTTCCCTCAGCGAGAAGCAGTGCCTGGGCAGGGGTGCACAAAGAACAGAACTCGGGGAAGCAGCACGGCAAGAAGAAGGGGTCTTCTATTCCAACATGGCTCTGCAGCTCCCAGACAGCCTTGGGAGTCACAGTAGAGCATGACAGGACAATGCTCGAGAGCCACACTGAGGCCTACACATGGTAGGCAGGTGACTTCTTCACCCAGGGCACCTCTGAACTCCCAGGCCTGCCAGCAGATTGTTTCTGGAATGCAGGAGGAGGAGGCAGAAACACTCACCTTCTGAGCATTTCTACTAAAGACTGAAGGTGCTGTTGGTGGCTGCTGGACTTCTTGCATTTGTCCTCCAGTTGCTCAAGCCTTTGCTGCACCTCCCTGCACTTCTCTTCCTGATGTCTCTGCTGCTGCAGCAGGAATTTGTTTGAGTCCTGCCTAGCAGAAAGCTCTTCTCTCAGGGCCTGAAGGAACACATAGGGAAGGAGCAAAAATGAGCAATAAAGAGCAGGGAAGGTGTCTCCAGAGAGCTGGAAGAAACTGCTAGCAGAGACAGTTCCTCTGAATGCAAAAGTTGTGCTGACAGGGTGGGCATCAAGGAAAGAAAAGCAGTAGAACACAGCAAAGCAGTGCAGGAGCACAAGCAAGAAGGTGCAAAAAAGTGCCTCAAGTGGCTGAACAAATGGAAAGATGTCGAGCTGAGCAAGACCTCAGCACTGAGCCTGTAGCTATCATGGAAGACACGAAGTTCTCACCCGTGTTGCCCCTCGCATCCTTGCCAGTGCTTCCAGAACCAATCCAAAGGCATGCCCTGTATCAACAGATCTCGGAGCTGAGAAGATGTCTCCAGAGCCTGCATGCTGGGAATTGCCAGTGCATATAATGCTGACCATGCTGTCACTGTTGTCTAACACCATCTGAAAGCCCATATCCAGCTGTTAGTCTTTGCTCATTTACTTGGTTTTCTTTATCTTGTTCTCGTTTTCCTCACACTTTACCCTGGAGTCATTAAAAACTCAATTTTCTTGTTTCTTCATTCCACAAAGGTTTGTGCCTGTGGCTACAAGTACTCCAGGGATTTCTGAATACAGCTACTCTTCACAAGCATGAAGTGGCTGAAAGCCACCTTAACACTCACTTTCTTGCAGCTGTGTAGAAGAGCTGAAAACTAAACCCATCTCTATTAAGAGAACTTTAGGGCTAAGGTAAGGTTACCCCTGAAAGTTGTGATTCTGGGGAGATTATAATGGTCGGTGTTCTGAGGAAATGGTCAGTGTTCTGAGGGAAGGAGCAGAGCTGGCAAGTGCATCAAGTGAGTCAGTGACCTTTCACAAAGATCTGAAGAACAGACTCATTGTTCAAAGAGGGTGAGGGAATTGCCCAGGAAACACGGGAACACAAATGTCAAGTAGCACACTCTGAAAACACAGTCCAAGAGAGACCTTAATGGGGTGGTGAAGGCAAAGTTACTGAAACTTCTGCTGACTCCCTGAATTGTCACAGGACAGCAACTCACAAGCTAGAACAGGTTCTGTGTCAGAAAAGTAGTCTAAAAATTAAACATGCAATGGCAGTTAACACAGATAGTACACAATATGTATCTCTAGTCCCTAAGCCAGTCTGTTGCCTTCCTCAAATACTTCAAAATCAAATATACAGGGATGTGGTCCCTGTATCAGGTCTGTACTCACCTCAGTGATATTTTTAATGAGCTTTTGAAGGAAAAGATTCTCTTCCTTGGCACTGTTAGTCAAAGAAGCTGCAAATTCTTTCTCTATCCAACTTGATTCCTGAGAACAGAATAAAGAAAGGGTGGGCATGGAACAGCTTCTCCCATCTGCAGCATTCCTATTCTCAGTAGCAGTCACACTGCTAAGTCTCAGCTCTAGTGATTCCAGTATATTCCTGTCCATATCTATTCCATTTCTTCTCTACTAAAACTATAAGGAAGACCAAAAGCTAGTTTTTACAGTCTGCTACTAAATGGTCAGTTCCAAGGAACTATGAACCCCAGAGACCTAAAGTCACAGGCAGAAGAACATTTTCCCTCAGAGAAAGACACCTGAACTGTCTGGAGTTCCTCTGGCACTGCCTGCATCTGGACTGACTCCACACCTGCCAAACACACAAGGAATATTTTGCCAAGGTGCCTGATGTTCCCATACACTGAGCATCTTTACTACTGTTTCTCCTGAGGAAGCCACACCTCTGTGTTCAGGCTGGGGAGCAAACTCTGGGCTATCTCCCAGGTAAAAGTAAAACATACTAGAATCTCCACTGTGTCGTTAAGTGTTTTCATGGTCTTCTCCTTCTCCTCGTTCTGCTTCTGAGACTGTACAAGCAAGGCTGAGAGCTCCATCACCCTGAGAAGAGAAGGTCTACATGCCATTCCAAAAGCTTTGCACACCAGCACCTGTTAAAGAGCCAAGCACCTCCTCAAAGCATAGCATAGCAAAGTTCAACCCAGGAAACACAGCAAAGGCAGCATTCATCTCTACAGGTTAATAGGCTTGATGATGCAAAATGGCACTTCTTGGCCCAAAGGCCTCTGCACCCAGTCTTGCAAGGAATTGTCAGCACAGAGGTGCTGCAGTGCTTATGGTGGCCCTGGGCAAATTCCTCCCAACTCCTTCAGCACAGCCCTGAGAAGTAAAAGGGCTGTACAAGAAACACAACTTTCTTTATGCTGAATTCAGTTTTTCACCAAGAATCAGTTAACAGCAAAAGCATTCTCAGGGGCTATCTCTTTTTCAGTCTTGTCTTACTTGGAAGAATTCCTGTCAGGCAGATACTTTTTTCCATCCTTTCCGTTGAAGGCAAGAGTTTGACTGGAGACAGCTAAATGTGAGCACAGCCCATCTGTAAACCCAAGAAGCTGCCACAAAAGATAATGCTGGAAATAGCAAAGTTAAAACACCTTTACCTGTCCTGAAGCTCTTTCTTCTCCATGTCACACCTGACTGGAAAGGCTATCACTTCCTGCTCTGCCTGATCCTTCAGGAGAGGTTTACCCAGAGGTATGGACTCCCTGAGCTGCACACAGGAGTTCAGGCGAGAGCAGTTCACAAGAATAGATCCAGAAAGCCTCATTTGTTCTGCCTTCAGCTCTGACAAGTCTCTGAAGAGGAACCAAGAAAGAGCCAATCTTCACTCCACTATCTTTATCAGCTGATTCACTTCTGAAGCATGCAATCATGCATCAGGAAGAGCTGGCAGGCAAGGTGACAATTTTGTTGGGAACAAGTCATTCATCTGACACTTGGGGACCAGGACACATCTTGACAGCTGAAAAATGATTTTACCGGGTAGCCAAGTGTGGGGTCTGTTTTCTTCTCAGATATAAGAAGTAAGATATGGCACAGGCCAGAAGGCCTCAAGCACCTCTAATTAACTCTTATTAGCATACTGTAATTATCATTAATAGAAATTGGGAATTTTACCAACATCCCCAGCTTTTATACACTCTGCTCTTGAGTGCTCTGTGATCCCCACTTGGACTGCTAAGAAGCTCAAGACTATACCTATATAATGAAACATTTTAGAAAAGTGGTGTAAGAATCAGCCTGAAATGCTGTAACATAAAAGCACAAACAACACAAGAACTAAATAGCAGGTCAGGCAGACTCTACACAATAGGGAAGACTTATAATCAAATAAGACAAATGGCTTACAGTAACCCAGAGTTTGAAAGTGCATGTTGACACCAGAAAGTACTATTACAGCTACACTATTTTTCTTGCGAGAAAAAAAAACTCAGAGAGCCCAAGAATAAGAAACAATCATAAAAAGAGGTATCAAACTAAGCAACATAAATTGGATGAATGCAGTAACAGGGCAGAGAAGCTATTCTTTCTCTCAGCAATGCTGGAAAAGGAGTAAGTAGATATAAACTGACCAGAATAAATGAAAAGGGAAAAAATATGCATTAATCATCTTTCTCTTAGAAGCAGTGGGAAAAGAAACCTGGTAAGATTTTTTAAAGGCAGGTTTTTATAATTTCATAAAAGGGACCACTCTATATGCTGCATGTACTGCTTCAATGAGTCTCTTACCAGGTGTCCATGCATTTCTGTGCCTGTGTTCACAGGCCCACACGTCACCACAGTCATCACCTGCTCAGAGACTCTGCTGTCCTCATGGCCCAAGTCCTTCAGCTTTATCTGAAGATCAGCAGCCAACAACTCTTCTAAGTTCAGCCCAAAGCCATGCTGAATGGCTTTGTTTCTGACTACCAAAGGAGAAATCCTATCTCTGCTGTAACTAACACAACATTGAGGTTCAAAAAGCAGGACTGAAAAGCAAGCAAGCCACACTTTTGCTGCAGGAGATCTCGCCTCAACTTCCACTCACCGGTCTGTGGCAGTCTTCATTTCCAGGAAATGGCGGCGGAAGGTCACCACCTGCCGCCACAGGCTGAGCAGACGGTTATGTTCCCCTCTGAAGTAGTTGTCATAAAGCTAAACATGCAAAGACAAAAAGAAATGCCAATTCAGCCCTTACTGTCACTGTAACCTCTCTCAGACAGGAGAGTAAATCACCATCACCAGGGGTCCTTTAATAACTACTGTACCAGGGGCATCAAGGACTGAAGAGGCACCAGAGGCCCACAGAAGGGAACCACCTGCCCAGAAGAGAACACCCTCACTTCTGTAGGAGTGGGTAGCAGCAAGCAAGCTGATCATGATTCATCACCACAAAGCCCCAGCAGAGGAACACCAACACAAGCTCCTTCAAGCCCAGTGCCAGGTTGGCTTACAACAGGCAGACAGTACAAGAGGTCTATCTTGTTCCTGTGTCAGCCTCTTTGAATCTGAAGACACACGGAACTCTCTGGTCTCAATTGCTCAAAACAAGGATTAAGGAACTATTAAAGAAACAAGTGTTCCTGTGACCGCCCAACAGTGCCCAGCTCTATCTTCTCGACCAAGCAGTGCAGTCACAGAAGGTGGGCATCTGCTCCCAGCACCCTCTGCTGACACTCCTCCCTCCCACACCCCTGTCCAGCACCAGTACATCCTCAGCAGAGCCAAAGCCTCCACACAGCAAGTTTTCCATGCCAGGAACAAAATGCATTCCCATTCCCCTCTGGCACTCCTGTAGCCCAATCTCACCTCACGTTCACTGCGCCATTCACTCTCCTTCACCTCCAGCTCTTCCCGGGCCCTCATCCAATCCACTGTCAGTTTTCCAACATCTTCTTTGAGGGCAGAATTAACCTCACTGGCTTTATCGAGGTGCTCCCGCAGGAGAGTGTTTACTTCTGCCAGATTCTCACACCTAGAAAAAAGAGAGAAACAAGGAGGTTGCTGAACAACAGCTCTCCAGCATCCCTGTGTTTTTCCAGCTCCCTTAACACTGACTGTTGCCTGAGAGGCAGTACAAGCACTTTACAGGGTTAACTAAGATCTCTCTGTGCTGAAAACCTCATCTAACTAAAGCTTTGAGCCCTCAATTTCCATCCATGATTTTGGCTTCCCCTTCAACCCTGACAATGCCCACATGTAACAATTTGCCCCCTCTTCATGCTGATGGTCACTGGATGTATCACTTTTCTATAGCACTGTCCACAGTTGTTCACCTACTAGAACCAGAGAATAATTTCAGCTGGAAAAGGACGTTTCACTCAGAAAGGACCTTTCACTTCCCCACTCAAAGCAGAGCCATTAAGCACACAGCACTGTTACTGCACCACAGAAAACAGATTGTGGACCTTTCTCCTGCACCTTGCCCAACCGCTTCCCTTGGGGAGACCGGGTAACACCAACAGATTTTCCCTCACTTCCATGAGTATCCAGGATACCAAATATGAAGAAATGCTTATTTCTTGTACCTTTGCTGCTCCTCTTCCACCTGAAGCAGTGCTTTCTCCAGGCTGTGGTCTGCTGTGGCTTCCCACCTGCCTGGAAGGGATCCCTTTAAGAAGAAAGGAAATGTTTAGTCAAATGATAGTGTGTGCTTCACCACTGTCAGCATCCACCACTTTCCCATTCATTTGTTGGGTATCTCAGGAGCTCATGGCTTCTTCCAGGTGTAACAGTGTTGTGACTACAGGGAGGAAGGAAAGGGTATTAGTGTGAGCAACTCTCCTCACTCTCCCACTGCTATGTGTCCTCACTTCATGACTTCAAGTGCTGATTTGGACTTGAAGCCTGGGAATGCTCTCCTATTCTTCCACCCTGTGGCTTCCAGATCTATTTTAGCTATGAAGCAGAAAGAAATGCATAGAGCCAGTTCTGTATGTTAACCACCAGCCTTCCTGACTTCCAAAATGGTGTTTTAACTGGTTCTTTCTCCAGGACAGCTATATCATGTAACATGCAGCACAGTCCTCTCCCGAGACTCAGGACAAATGTAACTCCAATGAAGCACTCTTTCACAAAATTAAAATCCTCAACTGGGTTTTCTGGACTGTCATTTCTGGGACTACTGACTGCTCTAAGAATGGCAACTGGACAAAACACTGATGGGAAAACTCACAGTGTTTCTCTAAACCCTCAGACAGTAAAAACCTGCTTTCTTGTAATTGGATTGTGGAGCGTTTTTATTGGTCTGCATTTGGGAACTTTATATACACCCTTTTTAGTTAACAACCTGCAGCACACTCACCCCTCCAGCTTTCACTTGCTGCTCCAACTCTCGACACCAGGTCTGGTACTGCAGTACCTAAATGGATACAGAGATTACAGATGAGAGAAGCAGCTTGTAATAGACTCTGCTCACCTCACGTTAACTTTTCTCTGACTCTGTCGAGCCCAAGCACAGTGATTCTGATACACTCAGCAAGAAGTCACTGCAATATCGGGAAGCGTCACTTTAATATGACAGAGATTGGGGCAGGGTTTCTTTCACCGTAGCACTGTCTGCTCACCTGAGACAGCGGCAGCAAGCAGAACGATGGGACAGGTGCGGGCAGCTCTCTACCTGACCTACGGCCCCCACGTACCCCGAGCCAAGTGTTCAAGGGGGCTGTTCAAGGGGGTCCTTGAAGCGAACAAAACGAGTTTTCAAACTTGCTCTGCAAACAAACCGGCCCGACTCCTGCTCGGGACAAACCCCGCTAACAGGGCCGAGCAGCAGCGAAGCTGCAGGCACCGAGATCGAGATCGGGAGGGGCTCGGCAGCGAGACCGCGGCGCGACGGGCGCTCCCGGGGCCGCCCCGAGCCCCGAGCCCCGAGCCCGCGCTCGGCACCGCCCGCCCGGGAGGCCCCGCGGGCTCCCGCCGAGTGCCCCCGGGCAGCGCGGGCGGCCCTGCACCGCCTCCCCGCCGCCGGGCACCGCCCGCTGCTCACCTCGTTCTGCAGCTGCCGCACCAGCCCCGCCTGGCGCTGCTGCGCCTCCTCCGCGCTCCGCAGCCGCCGCCGCAGCGCGCCCGGGCCGAGCTCCCCGCCGCCGGCGCTGCCCGCCATGGCCGGCCCGGCCCCAGCGTCCCGCCCCGCCGGGCCGCCCGCCGGAGCGCAGGCTCCGTGAGGGCGGGGCGGTGCTGCCGCCCTGGGGGCTCCGCTCTGCCGCCGCGGGGAACGTAATCAGGAGAAACAGTGATCGTGCACCCTCCGCAATGTCATCGGGAATTGTCCTGAGACTTGGTTAAGCCCATTGCTAAAAATATGTTTCATTTTGTATTTGGCTGCTGAATAACGCTGGCTTGTTTTCACTCCCTGTTGTTTCCTGTGACAGCGAATGCTTCAGCGCTGACATTCTGGGTTTTTTTAAAGAGGTGGAATAAATTAATTGCCATCAAATTTTCTTTGTCAGCAAAGTAGTTTGGGATCTCAGGATCTCTCTCTCAAATCTTGAATCATATAAATATGCTTCTATTACAAAGATGAACAATACCTATCAAAGGCAACTCAGGGAAATTAACATTGTATACCAAATGGAGGGACTCTGTTACTGAATAGGCTTGAAGAAGCTTGAAATAAACCCTGAATTTCTCTAAATGATAACAGGCAGAGATACCAAAAATTAGGGGGAAAAAATTCCCCCTTAATTCAGAGTTGGGGAAATTAGGTACATCTGTAGGAATCAAAAAACAAAAATAACACTCCCACTCAGGATATTTCATGTTTCTATGATTCTGTGCTTTGTAATTCACTACTGCTTGCAGATGTAGCCAAGTTTCTTGATTACCAATGACACAATTATTTCTTTGGACTTGCAATTTTTTATTTAACATCACAACATGGTAGCACAGTGTTTTAAATTTTGCTACCTTCACGTGGAAGTGGAAACATCATTACATTTGTTTTGCCCTGGCCCAAGACCAGCAAGTTTTAATTATTGCATCTGTAGGTTTTGTGTCATTCTTTCCTTTTGAAAAGCACAGCGCTGTTAATTTCCTTCATAAATTGTAAGTTCACACTTCTAGAAAACAGTTGCCCAAGAGCTATGGTGCAAAGGTCTAAATCCTCACAGAAACAGAATGATAATTAGATTCAATCAGCAAAACAACATGACAGCAAATAGCTTAATATATGGCACTAGCTCAGTTTTTTAAGTCCTTTCTGGAAATTAGTCCACCTGGGAAAGGACAGTGAATTTCCTGATAGATCACTATAAAAACTTCCATGTGCAGCTTCAACTGCAAGTAAGCGGCACAGAGCAAATTGTAACTCTTGGCATCACATATCCAATGAAGCTGCTCATCTGCAGGGATTGACAGTGTTTTCAACACTATGAAATCTTCCTCTGGCTCCCCAGAGTCATCCCTTCCTCTAGACTATGCAGGACATCCTACATCAGAAGGGCTGAGATTGTCTGAGAAAGCATCACAGCTCATGTAGGCATAATCTCAGGATATGGAGAGCAGGAGGCAAGGCACTTCCAGGGAGCAGGGACACGGGTGGCCCTCCCTTTTCAAATCCATACTCACACTGTGCGAGGGAGGAGCTGCTGTCACAGAACAGCTCAGAAGGACAGGTGGGCTACATGAACGCGGCCACTTGAGGTTGCACAGAAATTTGGCTGTGATGAGCAGTGAGAGGCTTGGAACACCACTTCCACTGTGTCCAGAGCCTCACCAGCAGGAGGGTTTCTAGCTACATATTGAACATATCAGTGGAGTTTGAGTTTAGCCAGCTGGAATGACTCCACTTTGGTGTAGGGTTCATAGGAACTCCCCTGTCTGTGGGTCTTGTTCAGGGTCAGCATTCCATTCTGGGGTCTGTGGGGCTCAGTGCACTCTACAGCATCTGTGCTCCCATGGTTCCAAGCACTGAGATTGTGGTTGCTTCAAAACAGCCTCTTTTAAAGAGAGAGATTAATTTGCACTTGCTTTTTACTTTCTTTTCCTTTGCTTGCTTGTTTTACTTGCTTTTCCTTTTTCTTTCTGTCTAGCTCTGTCTAGCCCACTAAGATTTTTTAATCTCAGGCATGTAAATATTCTTTGAACATATCAATGATCATGTTTTAATTTGATTTACTAAGACAATGCCCATGTAATCACATTGTCCAACCTCCTGCTCTTTCACCTCCCATCTCTTAAATCTGTTTGCAAATCACAGCCAAGTTTGATAGAGCAAACAAACTTTTAAATATATTAAATTCTTACAAGCATTGTGAAAACTGGAAGCTGGATAGATTAAAAGTGGAAATTCAACATTTAGCTTCTTTTGTGGCTTACTGGCAAGCTGATCAATGCCCCCATGGTGCAGAACCAGACACAGCACATCACCCAGCAGAAAGGTGGGCAATATGGGAAGGATAAAGTGATGGCATGGCTGGGAGGGCCATGGGATGGTGTGGAATGACTGCTGGGGAATGGTTTCATTAGAGGTAACTCCCAGGAGAAGCTGCTTTATTTTGTAGGGAAATATCAAAAGCAAACTGACATCAGAGGAAGGGCTATTAGATCAAAATCAGGAAAATCATGATTTGAATCTACCTTATTTGTGACATCTGTAAAATCACTGAACTCTTCTATCCTTCAGTTCCTCCATCAAAATAAGTGAAGCATTCAGAGCTTCTTATGTCATGCAGGTTGTTATTTATGAAAGCAGTTCAGTGTTTCTGATACTGGTCAGGGTGGGTGGGGAATGCTACAGCACACACAGGACAAGCCAAAAGGTGGTGTACCTTTTTCATTTCATCTTAACTCAAAGAAAAGCAATTGCAGAAGGACTGGGTGTAGCATCAATGCAAGATGAGAGATGGGTCCCAGTAATCCCTACTGAGTCCAGCGCCTTCTTTCCCGAAGGCTGATCTAGAACAGGTTATGAAAGACAGATTTGGCTGAAATGTGCAGGACAGCCTTGACATGAGGAGTGCTTGTTTTGACCTGCATCCTTCTTGGGGCCCCAGGGTCAGCAGCTCTTGGACATTTTGAATCTAAAATTCAAAGGCTGGTGTTCAGCAGTCTCGGGAGGAAGGACAGGGTTCGGCCTGCCTCCAGCTCCCGAGTGGCTCTGGAGAAGAAGGAGGAGGAGGAGGAGGAGGAGGAGGAGGAGGAGGATGGCTGCCTGCAGGGTGCACTGCTGCCTCGCTGCACCGCGCCCGCCCCGCGGGGCATCCCCTCCAGCAGGAGCTGCTTCTCCAGCTGGGCTGACACGGGTTTTTTTAAGCACAGCAATAAATAAGCCAAAATACACTGACTGTGGGCACGGCCCTGTTGAGTTTGTGTAAAATTAAATGTTACCCTCGTTAAGCGCCTGCGTTCCAGCGCAGCCCTTCAGTCACAAGGGGACGGAGTGAAGCCACTGTTACAAGCTCTCTGGAAAAAAGGCTACATGAATTATTTCTAAATTAGTTTATGTATGTGTCCAGTGGACTGTGTGACAGGTCTCAGTTGTTGATCTTGCAGTTTGTCCTGTCTAAACGTGAAGTTCATCGAGGGCTAAGGCAGAGGTCATACTGCCACTTGAAAAGGCATCCTCTGGAGTTTTGAGCCTGTGGAGCTGTTTCACATGAGGCAGAGTATGACTCATGCTAATGAAAAGGGTAAAGAAGATTTTTTTTAAGAAATATATCGCAGTAAAATTAGTTTAGACAGCATGACATCAGAGAGTAATTAAATAGGTTTGTTGGAATTCCGTTTCCAATTCCAGAGTTCAGGTTTGTAAAAGATTTCTGAGCACCTGCAGATCTCTGTGTGTGAAATATTTTCACTGGAAAGGATTCAAAACTCAAAACTTTAAAAAAACCTTTTAACACAGAGGCAGCATTACGCCATTCTTCCTTCTTGGAAAAAAAAAAAAAACCTTGGATTTAAACAAGACTCCTTCAAGTTTTCAGTCAGTTTTACAGAAGAAAACGAGGTGGTAAACTTTCTCTTTTCAAGAACAAGTTCTTTATAGCTGCTAACTGAAGTCAGGGGAGATCGTATCTGAGTACATGAGCATTTCCACTATGGGACTGGATACAAGTATTGAACAACGATATTTGAAATGTTTTAATCTCAAACAAAAACCATTTTTGCTAACTTTGGTTTTTAATTTCTTTCATGTTTTCTTCTGCCAAACTGGAGGAACCTTTTCTGATTTTTTCTTTAGTGGCATTCAGAGGAAGACCAGAGGATGAAAATCCTGCATTTTCTCACTTTACTGCTTTGGCATTTGACTTGGCTGTCTCTGGATCTAGTTCCTGGAGTGCTGAGTAATTCTGAAGCAGGCCAGGGTAATCCAGGATCTAAATTAGGTTTTTTGAAAGCAGAAGGAAAGGAGAGGAATCCCTCCGCACGAGCAGGTACATTGAGGACTTCAAGCCATGGATACAGTGCTGGGACCTCAAAGGCCAGGACTAAAAGCAGTGCTGCTCAGGCTGGAGCTCTGCTGGCCAAGAATGATGACTCAAAGAAGGTTCCCTCAAGAACAGCAGCTGCAGAGGGCAAGGTAGGACATCTCCCCAGCAGACCTTCTGGAGTAAGGACAGTGACTCCAAAGGTTCAAAATCTTAGCAGCAAGGTGGCTTTGAAAAAAACTGGCACAAGCAGTACTGACACTGATTCTTTCAAAACCAAAAAGACTAAAGAGCCTGTAACCCAGAGGGAAGCTAAGGAAACTTTCCGACATCCCCCAATAACGCCACATGAATACATGCTCTCTTTGTACAGGACTCTCTCAGATGCAGAAAGAAAGGGTGTTAATGGAAGTGTAAAACTGGAGGCTGGACTTGCCAATACAATAACCAGCTTTATAGACAAAGGACAAGGTAAGAAAGAAGCTTGTGTGTGAGTGAGTGTGGACAGAGAGAGATGTCTGAGTGTGCTTATAAATGTAGAAAGTATTGGAAAATAATCATATTTCGGTAAAGTCAAATAGCTCTTTTTAATGTAAATGAAATCACACAACTTTGCTGCAGATTTTGTCCTCCTGCATTATCTTGGAAAACTCATTTACAGGCAGAACTAGATGGTTGTGTGGCAGCCAAAGAAAACATTTGGGAAATATTTTAGATGCATATTGTTGAAAATCAA